CTGGAGCAAGCCAAACCTGTGAAGATGGCTGCAGCCTTTTTACAGTGTGCATGAATATATATTTTCCTCCAATCTTAATTTAGTTTCAGAGTTTTTGTCTTGAAATTTTTAGTTCCTGCATTGCGGTTTGTTTTATGCTCTTTTTATATTTCTTTTTGTGTCTTAAAATTCACTTGCAACTAAATCATAAAATGTTACTTTTGGGGGGCATTTCATTTTCTTGCAATTGAATTTTGTTTTCAGGGGTCATTGGATTTAAGTGAAATAAATAAATAAATAAATAAATAAATAAATAAATAAATAAATAAATAAATAAATAAATAAAAGAAAGAAAGAAAGAAAGAAAGAAAGAAAGAAAGAAAGAAAGAAAGAAAGATAGATATCATCACTGCGGGGAGGGGGGCGATGATAACTTCCTCAATGGCTCAAGGGGGCGTTTCTTTCAAAAAGGTTAAGAACCACTGGTTTAAACTGCAGGCTGGCAAACTTTTAAGTCCACCTTTTTTGTGTCTCAAACTGCTAGGAAAGACAGAGGAGCAGAAAGGGTGGCAAAAATGTGGCAATCCTACATTATCTAAGTTAGCTGCAGCAGTGATAGAAGACCTGGTATATGTTAATTTTTAAGATGGTCAGTCCTACAAAGTCTCCCAGCCTCAATGAACTTTACTGCTCCTTATTCTAATCTTTAAAAGGTAAAACAAAACAAAATCCCCACCCCCAAAACACACTAGTCCTTCCTGTTCACAAGTTTTGTTATTTAAGTAGGGACACCTTAGAAATGATAAGAGGACAAGAAAATTGAAGACATCCTGGCAAAAAGTCTTTAAAGAGCTTGAAATTACATTTAAAAGGAATGAGGAAACATTACTCTTTTAGCAGGAAAAAAATGACCTTTCTTCTCACTTTCCACATTACTTCTAAAAAAAGGCACTCCGAAAGTAATTCACTGGAAGTAACTTGACTGTTGGTAACTTGTTACTTCCCAGAGCATGGGAAACTTCCTTCTTTGGGCTATAAATGACTTATGGGGTGGGGATGAAGCTTCTGAAATTTTGGGGCAACGCAACCCTTGCTATGATTCATGAGCGACCATGACTCCCAGAGTCGCCCAGCCAACATGATTACTGGGGGATTCTGGGAACGGTAGTCCGAAAACAAAGCTTTTTGAAGTTCTGATCTCAGCTCTTCCTGCATTTAATCCCTTTGCTCACAGCAAAGCACAGGGCACACATGAATAACTGAAACATGCACACAAGAAGACACACATTACCTGCTCCTTTGCACACTCCCTCTCGGGCTTCGCACTAGCCGTGCTCCTGAGACGCACACCCCAAAGGTCCAGCCTGAGGGCTTTCCACGCCAGCCCTCCCCGTTCCAGCCAGGCTGGGTGTGTGTCCGATCCGAAACGGCCGAATCCCCACCTCTCTTGGATGGGATCCACGCACACCCCTGCCCCAGCAGCAAAGATGGTGGCCCACCCACCTCTGGCCCGTGCCCCCTGGCATTTCATCCCTTGGCATGAGTCACGGTCCCCCTGACCCCAAACCCGCCAACGAGGCGAGTGGCCCAGACAGGGCCTCATTGTCCCCTCCGCCCTCTTGGGATTCCTCATGAAAAGAACAAACCCGCTCATTGTCGCTCCCCACGGAGGGAGTGGAAGGGCATTCGGTGGACAGCTCCCACTCCACCCCCCCATCCCCACCCCCAAAATAAAGCCAGGACAAGGTATTTGGGGTGTCTAGCTTGGCTGTGAAGGGAAAGCGGCATGCTGGAATTTTCGGGTGTCGCTGCCGTTTGAGCCTCGGAAAGCGTGGACGGGTGGGTGGGGGGCACCGTCTGGGTTGTTACAATAGGACAAAGGCAGGAACTTGTTCCAGGCTGTGACGGAAAGCATCGCCCACAGATGTCAGCCTTTAAAACAAACCAACTGGCTGCGGACACATGCACGGACTCCCACAGCCCCCCTGCTCCATGAAAGGGGCCGGCGGGCGTCTGGGTGGGCCGCCGGGGCTGAACCCATATGTCTTCCAGCACCCCACCCAGCCACCCTCTTTCGTAAGCTGGCCCTCTGATCCGGCAGCTAAGACCTCTGCGTCCTGTGGACTAACTTTCAGGCGGACAGAAACTGAACAGGTGAAGCCGTTGCCGTGACACAACGGCAGCACGAGGGAAGCGTTTTCCCTTCATCCCTTATTCCTCACTATCATTATTGGATCATCCTCATCTCATCAGTGGCCTTGAGCAAATTTTGCGCGTTCTGCCAAGTAAAAGATATTGCCTTGATGGGGATTGGGGAATTTCTCTCGCAACCTGGATAGTTCAGGGGTTTAGGCGTCTGGCTGTGGAGGCCAAAGTTGGGAGTTCGAATTCCCCACTGGGCCTCCTTGACAGGGGCTGGACCCGATGATCCACAGGCTCCCTTGCAGCTCTGCAGTTCTAAGATGAGGATGAAGACAATAATGATGATGAGGACCCCTAACCTGGCTTTCCGTGCTTTTTGGAGGGATGTATACAAATTCTCATACAGGGCTGAAGTAAATGGAAGTAAATGTGAGGAATAAGGCCCAGCTTCCATAGAGCCTTGCCTTCTGGTGTTCAGGCGGGAAAAAGAGCACCACCATGGTCCAAACGGAGGGGGGGTGAGAGAGAATCAGATTGGCCGGGTTTTGACCTCCAGGCCAGTTGCCAAAATATTTTGATCAAAAGCCAGAGATTAAGCTGTGGAGCCCACACATGGACACAAACGTGTGAGGCTGTTGATCTTAAGGCCCAATGTGCTTTTTCACACATTCTTGTGAGTGGGTCTACCAGAGGCGGCGTATGTGACGTTTTTTTTTTCATAGGCATTTCCCCACCCACACATGCACACAAGCACAGGTGCCAGTGCAAACAGAACAGCATGGCAACATGTGTCGGGGCTAACACTGAGAGTGAACTCTCCCACATCTTTTCACCCTAGACCTGCATAGTTCCAGAATGTGAAAAATTCATCTTTAAAATGTAAATAGCAGTAAACCTCTGGGAGCGGGAGGGGGCTCATTGCTCTCACGTCTGATGCACCCCACTGGCTGATCTGGGAACAAAATGTTGGACTGGATGAGCCCCTGTTGGGTCTGATCCATGAGGGCTCTTTTGATGTACTTAACCCTCCAGGGAATCGGAAGGGAGATAGAAATGCTCTATATACCAGCCTTTCTCAACCCGGTCCCCTTCAGAGGCATTGGATTGCAACTTCCACCACCTCCAGGCATCTGGATGTGGATGATGGGAGTTGTAGTGCAGCGATTCATGAGGGGCCCCTGGCCGAGGAAGGCCGCAGGCCAGAGATGAAGGGACAAGGACCAAGCTCTCTCTCTCTCTCTCTCTCTTTTTGCTTTCATGTTTAAAAGCATCATGTTAAAACCATAAGAAATACCCCCCCCACAAAAAACACAATACCCCCCCACAAAAAAAACACCAAACCAGCCCCCCCCCGGCTACAGATGAAAGGAACACACTACAGAAACAGAGGCAGAATAATCTATGCATAAGCTTCCATAAAAGGCCTCCAAATGAAACCTTGCCTGTGATTTTAGTTCATGGTGGCTCATGGATGATGATGGGGGTGTGCCTCACCCCAACATTTTTGAGGGAGGCGCCCCGTGTCACCAATCATAAGCCACACTCACTTTTAGCTCACTTAAATTGGGCAGTGAGAGGCACTCACAGGCAGGCCATATACAGTACTGTACTCCTTGTTGGGTGTCACGTGCTATCAAGTCGAAACTGATATCGCAACCCTAAGAGGGCTTTCAAGGTAGATGAGATATTTAAAGAGTGGCTTTATCATTTCCACACCTCCACACCTTCATAGCTGAGTGGGGATTCGAATGCAGACCTCCTGAGTATCCATGTATCTCTGGCCAAAAAATACCCATCAGGGTTTAAGTGATGAGGGAAACCCTAGAGAGCCTTGCC